AGGTAATGCCTCAGGTGGCTGTCTGTCTGTACGAGTCAAAAGAACCAGGTTAGCACCGCTCAAAAAGAAAATTGCTCTTCTAACCAAAGTCCAGCAAATGAGATGTTCACCTTATAGAGGCTCATGAGCTGGGTGGCAGTGTACTCTTTGGTCTGGTTGAGGGGTTTGAAGCTGATGTCACCAGGAGGTTTGGCTGTGTATGTGAAAGGACCAGAGATGGTGTCCAGGTCATGGGTCCCGATGGCCACCAGACTCCTCTTCCTGCACACAAAACACAGTTAATGGTTGAATTAAAACAAGTACGCTATAAAAAGGACAACAGTGGTTGGTGTGTTTTTTGTATACACAGACTACACATCAGCAGGATAAGTTCACTGTTGCTTTTGGTCTCACCAGCAAATATCTTTTTTATTTATTTAACCTTAACCCAGGAGAAGTCTCATTGAGATTAAAAATCTCCTTTACAAGAGAGTCCTGGCCAAGACCAGGCAGCAGCAAGGTTCCACAGTTACATACAAATCATTTAAAAACAGACAAGTAACATATAAATAGAGTCAAGTCAGAACATCATCAAACAAAATAACATGTACAGACAGAAGAGCCAGCTTACATCACTAGAAAAGATTTAAACCTGTTTATAGAAACCAGCTCCTTAAGTTTTAGCACATTTTGCAGCTGGTTCCATGAAAAAGTGAGCAGCATAACTAAAAGCCCTTTTCCCAGTTTATTATCAGTTTGTGGATACTGCTGGAAACTGTGAATTTCCCCTTGGGGATGAATAAAGTATCTATCTATCTATATAAACAGGTGAAGCCAGGGCATTATACAAGCGACAGTAAGCACACCATTTCCAACAGCTAATCTGACCTGCAGATGTTCTGGTGGAGTTTCTCCTGCAGCTCGATGAAGCTGTCGTAACGCTCCTGTGTGAAGGTGATGTTCCTCAACACTGCTGCCACAGCGTGGGGTCGCACTGCCGCCGTCTGCACAGGACAAACACAATAGCAACAAACCAAGTGGTTACCATGGTAGTACACACATTTTTTTTGATTCATAAACCAAGCTAATGATAGCTTCAGGTATTTGCCCTTAAGTATTATGAATGTTACCACCCACCTCCTTAGTAATAACCAGCTTCTGAGGCTCCCCGCTGCTGGGGCTAACTCGTCTGTAACGAGGTGCCTCCAACCTGAAACACAAATACAATCTCTGTAGCAACAGTGAAGCAAGCCTGCACGCACTACACCCATAATGGATAGGCATCTTGTATTTGAGCAAGGCTGACAACCAAACAACACGCCTTCATCCACCATATTTAATGCAATTAAATCACACTCATACGTTTTATTCCTAAACGTTTTCACCCTCCTTATTCTGGGAGAGGGTTCTGAGTTACACTGTTATACTTCTCTGTTGTGTCATGAAACTGGTCACCCTTCCCTTACAGTGTAGCAATCACAGCAGGATGCCGGTTCTGTCATACAAGATGCCACTCACTTATTGTTGAAGACCTGCAGTCCACGCACCAGCCCTTCCAGACACAGCAGGTCATAGCGGTTAGCTGGTACATCAATCTTGTAGAGGATGGTGTCGGATGCTCCGGATGCCTTGGAGTCGCCCTGCTCTCGGCTGATTAGCTCCTTCTCTGAGGTCTGTAATGAGTTCACTGGTTACATGTCACAGTTCAGAAGATGTTTTTGGCACAAATGTACTTGAAGACCTTTCTTACATTAGACATTTTGACTTGTCAATTGTCACGAGTGACATCCTATACAATTTATTTTTTGCCAAAACGAGTCAAAGTGTACATCATGACGAAGGTGTACTGTAATCAGAAGACACATGTTTGGATACAATGTGGTTTTATTTCCTTTCGTGTTGTTTACTCACAATCTCATCCAGCTCCAGCCCAAACTCAAAGCACAGCTCGTCAAACTCCTCATCAGCTGAAACGAGAAGCAAACAGCCATTATTAGAAAGCGCTGTATGTAAGGACCATATATAAGGACCACCGGCTGTTATCTTCCCACTGACCCGCAGCCTGCTCACGTTGTAACGTCAGGAGCAGGTAACGGTGAATGATGCAATCACGCTGACATCAAACACACAGATGTCAGTGCAACAAGACTGGTTTCTATTTGCCACAAACATCAGCAGAGCAGCCTGATATTCAAATTCACATTTGGCACGAATTTCAATTGAATGTCTTCTTTTTCTCATTCAAGATGGTTTGTATCAAAATCCAGATAAAGCTAGCTGCGCTGCTAACAGTGAGGCTAATGAGCACAAACTGAGCTGACTTCCTCTTTCAGAGTCCGAAGAACATTTAAAAACCAGGCAGACTATCTGTCCGTCACTTGAACATGTAGTCAATATGACTTACTGTATGTTCTGCCCAAAGCTTTGAAGAGAAGATCCCTTTTGACTCCGACAGTCGGCATGTTGGCTGCTAATCCTCCTCAGCCCAGTGGAAAGGACCCCAGCAGCCGGCTGTAGCTGTCTACAGCGCTGCCTGAGAGGAAAAAAAACAGTTGTCAATATTAGAAACATATCAAATTTGTGGCTACAATGTCCTCCAGTTGTGATAAATGTAGTTCTTTTCGAAATAAAATGTCGTGTCTTAGTAACACATAAGATATGCCACATAATTTTCAAGTTCAAAGGATGAAGATAAACAACATTAAATTGAAACCATGTAAACTTAATCTATTTTGTATCAACAATGTTTATTTATTTATAAGAATCACAATTAATATTGATCATTTTAATGACAACATACATGGTGTAACTTAGTATCCCCTTAGCAAAAAATAAATTACAAAGTGCTCTTCAGTAATACAACAAATTTGAAAAAAAAAACACTTAAAATGAGAGACAAAAAGTCTTTAAAGTTCAAAATCTACATACAAGTGTTATAACTAGGACTATTAATGGGATGTTAATCAAACAAACTGTTCAATTCCATTCAACTGACATGATATAAAGTATACTGTAGGGACAACTGCATTGACCGGGACACCCATCACTTTAGACCCATTGATAAAACATTTCAGTTAGAAAAATTAAATTGTTTATCTCTTTTAGGAATATATGTTTAGGAGAACAACAGAAAAGATATCAGTGATATACACTCATACTGAACATCAGAATAATCATCTATTCAAATATTATTTGTGAGCCTAAGGAGAGCAATCTCAGTGGAGTGTTTCTAGTAAAGGCCAGATTGGAAATCAAAACATATACTGCTATTATCCAGCACGCCTCAAAGTTGCCTAGAGACCACGGTTTCATGGCTTGAAACTGAGCTGGAGATGGACGTACTGTAGTAAATAATCAGAAGGCAACGGGGGTCGAATGTGCTTGAAATAATGATGCAGACAGTATCAAGGGAGTTATTCACAATAACAAGTCTTCATGAATAGCACCAAAGATCTATGAGAACAGATTGCAGCACAGCAAGTAGTAGCTGACATCTGCATATGAGAAATGGCATTACATTTTTTTATTAGTAAAATATGTTAAATATTTTCCCTCGTGCTTAAAGGAGCTTGTCTAATGAGAAAAAAACTCATACGATTTCTTCAAGAAAGCTAGAAAACAGATGGCGTTCAAATTATACATTTGAAAGAATCTGCTTGAGTCATCTGGTTTGGTACTTAGTGGCTAAGACGGATGACAGATAGATTCCAATCATGAAATTGTTAATTAAATATATTATCTTATTAGTAATCAGATGGTGGAGTGCTGGGACTGAAGGATTATTATTACAACCCTGATGAGAAAGTGGAGACAGCGGGCAGCAAGCCTCATTTCACCATTTCATTTCCCCAGTAATATGTCTGTTGGTGAAGCAGCCATCTGCTTGTCTCTCTGTCTCCATAATATATCACACTGCCTCTGCATGACACTGCAGAGTGAGTCATCACACTGCCAGCGGCTCCCTTTCATAGCTCCGTGTTTTCTTAGGTTTATAACAATACAACAGTCAACATAAAAAATAATAATAATTTAATTTATTTGCAACTCATGACCACGATCACATGGTATGGAGCAGAACAAACGTCAATATTCACCATGCATGACAAATATTACAGAATAAAGACATCCCAGAAATGACAGAAATGTTACATTGGATAAACTGTATCCTCTCTGCTTCACTCCTCCAAATAACATCATGCATCAGCATTGTTCGTCCAGGCTTGTAATCAGAGGGTCGCCGGTTCAAATCCACTCATATAGCCCACTGTGCACTCCCTGCCCTCCACAAGTGCTGTGTGTGTATGAAAGTAGACAACATACATATCAGTCACAGTATCAACATGCATTATGAGGACGTACATTTTATGTCAAGTGTTTTGACAGTTGGGTACTCCAGTGGTGCAGGCTGGGTAGGGGCTTTACAAATTGCACTACCTGGGCCAAAGCAGACAAAGACACTGTGTCAAGCTAAGATAGCAAGAACACGATGAGTAGATTTTTTCTAGTTCTGCATGATCAAGGTAGTGGTTGTGATGGTGATATTCTGTAACATTTGAAATTGTACATGGTGACTCCCCCAGTGGAGCCCATGTCCAAATCAGGTCACCATATGTTTAAATTTAAATCTTAATCACACGTGAAATGTACTGGACCTCACAATTATTCCACTCAGGTTAGATGGACCCTTTTCTAATGGACCCAATTATTTATCATTTGTATGAACTTTCTCAAGAGTTGGAGGACCATTTTACATCTGACAGCTCATTAAAACACCCTCTTTATTTCCTTTAACTTTAAACCAGTGCGGAAGACTGGACCCCACCTCGGTGTGCGCGTGTGGTTGCTGTGTGAGTGCCGTGCGCGTGGCCTCTCGCTCCCTCTGACACTCAGTAACTCGTGCACTCCTCCCATCTGGGCCCGGCCCCTAGCACGCGCCACCTCGACGAGTCCAATCATAACTCAGGGAATGCCTCCCCCCCCCCCCGCTCTCCTCCCTCCCTCTCTCCCTCCGTACCCGCCATCCATCCTCGTACAACAACACGACGCGCGTGTCACTTCCGGGCTCGGACTGCAAAGTGCAACATGAAGGTCTGTATGAGAGCCGGCGGATGAATGCGGTGGCAGAGCTGACTGTAACAGGGCCGGAGGACGGATACAGACACCGGTGAGTTCCTCTGTCGTTTAGGTGCGATGCGCGTTTATACCCAGATGTGCGGGATGCTACAGTTGCGTCAAGTTGCCCGAGATAGACCGAGACAATTGTGGAAGTAATGGACGCTATTCTTCTAAAAATAAGTGAAACACGAGACTTTTATTTCACGCTGTTGAATGTAGCAGCTACTTGCTAGTTAATTGAATGTCGATAGCTGAACCAAAGTGTAGAAAGAGTCGCTAAAGTGAGAACCAAGACAGAGTAGGATTAACTAATGTCATTCATATTTTTCCCTCGGCTGAGAACAGGGTGTGAATGTGTGTGCTGTTCAAATGCCAGTGTGTGTAAAGTGGTCTTTTTTTTAAGTTACCAGGCTACATACGCTCATACTTAATGTGTTTGTGGAGAGCCTATTCAATTATCTCGTATGGTCAGCGCCTTGAACAGTGTTTTGCCAAAATGCAACACAGTTTGACACATTTTATTTTGAAATAGTAAACCGGAAGTTATCTTGCCGATGTGGGGCTCTTGTTAGTCGCCAGTGCGCTTGGATGTCGCAGTTCAGTGGCTCTCATTATAATGACATCTAAATTCCACAACATATTGGGAGTCCGTGTGTCCTCATTGCGCTTTAATTTCAATAAGGAACGAGGAAGAGCTCAGTAGCTCCTATACTCATTGTAATGAGCTCATTTTTAAGGGAACTTTTAGAAACATCTGTACACTGTTTTGTGTTTCTTCAGGTAGATGTATGCAGTTATGAAAGGCAGACAAGCAGGACACATTTTATATAAACGTGTGTTTTAATCAAAGGCCAGAACTGCACATCTTTGTCACCTCACAACAATCCTCACTCCAAGTTTTTACGACCCCAAGCTGCTTGCCACTTTTAAGGTCTATTTATTTACACAGCCGAAGTGAACTGGCCTGTGGCAACGGTTATCAAATGATGCAGGTCCACCAGGGTGCTCCTGTACCTACAGACAGAGCTCCATTGTCTTGCAGGGATGGTCCGATGTGATTAGAAAACACTCCCTTCTCCCTGGTAGCCATATTTCTCAAGGAGGACACAAGTCTGCATTATTATGGTGTTATAAAACACATCTTAAGTAAATATAGTCTGCTGAGTGAGGAGGGAAAAGATGACATGTTTTCTTGGGATTTATTTACATTCCTTATTCCACTTGTGATAAAGATACTTCATATTAGCCAGGATCAGGTGCTTTTTATTGATTTTAGCTGTGGTATAAATAGTCCAAAGCATTACAAGAGAGAGAGAGTGAAAGGAATAGGTTGGTGACCGGCATGTTTGCCAGTACTTTATGTCACCATGTGCACACAAAAGCAGAGAAAAGCTGCAGTCTGATCTGCATAATCCAACCAATTGTGTTTTGTGCTTTCACTCTCAATGAAATCACACAGTACTTAAAACTCTTCAGTCATTTTGCCAGCCTCTGATTATGCCACTGTTTGGAACGGGGCGAATACACCTCATGTTTGCACCTCCACACGCCCTCGCGAATGCACAAACCCACCACAAACATCTCCTCTTTCTCCTTAACACACGCGTGGCCTGACCCTTGGGGCCGAGTCGTGCGTTTGTGCGTCGTCTCACCACAATGGCCACGTTGAACTTTCTGCGAGACTTGGGCCTGCCTGCATAGCTGAGTGGGTGAAAGCACGATGACGTCTGCACACAAAAGGACCCATTCACACAATCTCTTGAGGAAGCACTCATCCCCACACACACACACTCGCCTGCTCACCCCACCACTACACAGACCATGTCACAATATTACTCAATTAATCCAGTGAGTGGAGGCTGCCTGCAAAGCGCCTGCTTGCTGCATAAAGCCACCCATTGAGCAACTACTAGTCTACATATTGCGACCAGCTCTTTCTCGCCATTAAAGGTAAGAGATTAGAGTCAGTCTTGTTTGTGTACTGCTTTAGGACAAATCAGGGTCTTGACCTTTTACAGAGACTGAGAGGAGGAGTTGGTCTTGGATCTTTCTGGAAAGCCCCAGGTCCAGCCCAGGTCCGGGTTGGTAAATGGCTCGTGGATGCAATCAATGCATATCGATGAAAAGTAAGGAATTACAGATCTGATTGATGTCCCACAGATGGAGGTTACAGGTGGCTCTTCATCTTTATGTATGCATAAATGCCTTTTATCCAAAGCTTAGCCGACATTCCAATATGCTGTGACTGCATCACCATACCTCCCTGCCCATGTGTAATCTGACTTGTGGTGCCTGGCAGTGCACACAGTGGCACTCCCCACTGTTATTCATACAGTCGAGCGCAATGGTGAAATTATAAGTTGATTATTTAACAGAGAATTAATCAACAACCATTTTGGAGTGCTATTAATAACTGTGAGAAGAGTTACAGTCCAAACTGGGGATGTGGTTTGAAAGACGAAGGTGTCTACCAGTGAGAGAGGGTCACACACAAGACGTTACGGAGTTGATTTTGACCAATATGTTGGTTCAGTGCAATACTAAAATGGAGTATCACTTTAGCATCTAATGGAAAACACACCAAAGCCTTCAGATTCAGTGAACTCAGTACTGTTGGTGAACATCCTGTTTACTGAATGCAGTTGCAGTAAATAATAGCTTGAAATAACCCAGTCTATGAAATCTAGGTTTTGTAATGTTTTGTTAGAGGAGCAGACAATAGCACTCAGATGATTTTCAGTGATCTTTATGGAGGAACAGAGTTATATCAGCGGCAGGCTCAGAGTCTAAAGAAAAATGAAAAGCTTTGGTAGCTGACATGAGAAAAAAAAAGAGAAACCCAGTCGTTGTTCAAGAGAACATGTTTCCACTCTGTTGCTTAAAGTACGGCAGCTGTGTTTTTTATGGTTTACAAAAGATGATGGAAATTAAAACGGTGGCTGCATCAAAAACTGTGCTTGCAGTCTAATATTTGTTACAGCAGACCTAAAACTTCTGTTCAGTGTCTACACAAAACAGCAGTGGAAGAAGTTGAAGTCTGCCAGCACCGTGCTCTGTTGCTTCTTTTCCTCTAGTTTGTTTACCCCACTTGACCACACTACTCCTCTGTGGCCTCTATTTCATCGACCTCTACTTTCAGCAAAAAAGAAAAAAGAAAAGAACTGCGAGAGACAACGAAACCAACAAGTGGATGAGAGCGGGCGATGGAGTAAAGCGTCTGTCCCAGCGGGGTGCAGTTTTGGTAAGCTGTAGGGTCCTGTGATGAAGCGGGGAGGCATCAAGGCCGGGTAACAAGACACCGAGCAGAACAACAGCGCAGTGGAGAATCCCACAGAGAACAGATGGTAGTCTGGGAGAGCACTGCTGGTAAAAGCTCTGATTTATTTATGAGTCTCAAAGGGACACTTGAGGGATGAGTGTGTTTGGGAGACAAGTAGGTACAGTATGTGTCAGTTTTTTGGTAGGGGGAGGATGAGGTGCTTCAGGGGAGCGAGATGAGCCTCTCCCTCCTATGAATAATGAATTACTGCTGCTAGAATAGGCCCTTAGCGGCCCTCGGATTGTGTATCTGCGTGCCTGCTCACACCGTTTTCACAGGGGACATGTTTTTTTAGCTGCACGATTGCAAAGACAGTTGACGGACTGGGTAGAAATGTCAATATGCATTATGGTTACTTCTCACACTGGTGGCCTCTAATGGCGGTTTAACCACCCTATTACCCAGAAATGTTGGACTATATAATGGCGGTTGTGATAGTGACGAGGTTCAGCTCCCTCAATTATAAGAGAAGCACTTTTGCCATACCCAACAGACAAATAGTAATCAATAATAGTAATGATAACAATGATGACTGCGTGGTATCTTTTAGAGGATGGGACCGTTATTTACCCTGGCAGTAATCGAACACACTTAAAGATCCAGTTTTTTACAGATCCTTGACTCTGACACTGCGCAGAATGTTATATGTTCAGAGTTTCAATCTCAATCTGCTAAAGGGGAAACATTTTTCTGAGCTCACCTACAATCTGAGTTTATGACGCATACGTACAGGCAGGATTTTGTGACATCACGACTGACAAAATGAAGATGGATTCTGGATTTTCCAATGAGGGGGAAAGAACAGACACAATGTTATTAATAGTCAAAGCAGATTATTTTTAAACGTCTGGGGATCTCTAAACTGACATTAGCTACAACAGCCAGTGAAATACATAACCAGATGTTCCTTTACTGGAGCTTTAAACCGCATCTCAACATGGCAGATGCTGTTTGCTCAGTCTGAGGTTTAAAAAGAAAGGTTGGGTTAAGATTATGTTGTCAAACTACTATTTTTGTAGTATACTCAACTTTCAGGCAAAATGATCGGACGGGTACTTATTTTCAGACAAAAACTGTAATAACTTTGGCCTTTAAACGAAAGTTTTGCAATCGGCCCTATCAAAATATTCAAACACACCTAACCCTTGATAAGACACCATATATTTACATAACAATGTTTCCTGATTGATCTGAAAGCTTGGACCGGTGTTGGCCTAACCTACTGTACAGGTTAAAGTGTAGAGAACTGGTGCTAACAGGAAACCTGTCAGTCAGGGCAGCGAGAGAACCTTAACACTGATCTCTGATCAGAACTCTGGACAGCTCCCAGACTCTGCCAGCACCTACTGCATGTTACAGTCTCCATCACGGCTAGTTCACACTGTCTGTGTCTGTCACATGATACAGTATTTTTACAATCGAAACAAGGAAGTGAGATGAATTTCAGTATATATAAATATACCACACGCTGGAATTATCCAGTGTGGCAGTCTGTCCCACTACACTCTCTCTCGTTCAGTGTGTACAGTGTGGCTAGGGCATCTGCTACTTTGCAGAACACACACTTTAGCTTCAGCTTGTTCTTTATGTGTACTCTCTCTGTCTTGTCGTCCTAGTCTAGTCTAGTGGCTTGTACCCTGTCACACACACTCACATGCTCATTCAGAAACCTCTTATGCACCATCTCACACTTAGTGTCGCTTACGTCTGTCAGAGATAGTGGTCTCTTTCTGTTTCATTTTTTCACTTTCTCAAATCTTTTTGCTTGTTTTTTCTCATCTGCTCTTGCTGTTTTCTTTCTCTATCTCTCTCTTTTTTCTTTGTCTTGTCGGCGCTAACAGTGCGTGCACTGACAGTTGCCTGTGCTGTGTCCATGCTGTTTTCTCAGTGAGTGCACTGGATACAGTAGCTGCAGGAAAGAGAAGGAACATTGGTGCACAGAGCAGGTCTGTTTGTCACGTCGTTGTGTGCCAGTAATTTCTCTTCTGCTTTTTGTGAGCGAGACTACATGTGACTTATTGTTTGGTTTCGATTTCTGAATGAGTTGAGATTCGAGTCCTTTATGGCTCTTAAAGCTCAGGATCATTATAAGCTCAGGCATTACCTTATTTTGAAATAACAATAAGAAGGAATTGAATGTCAGTTGTTTGTGATTTATTTTCCAGGAGTAGTGTGGAGCTGTGGGCATTTTATTGCCAGGGATTACGAGTCAAGCTCTCCAAAAGAAAGAAGGAAGACAAAGAAAGGGACAGAAGAAAAGAGGGACTGACTGCCACCGCGGGAGGACCTTTTTCTCACACCTTATCTTCACAGCTTCACCAAGATGAAGCTGAAGGAGGACCTGAACCCCATGCTGCTGCTCCTCTTCCACCTAATGGTATGGATCTACACCTTCATCACCTTCCTGCCGTCCTACGTCCTCAGCTGGGTCTCCAGATCCAACGAGGGCTTCCTCGGCTCCGAGGAGGAACGAGCAAAGAGAGCGAAGGCCCGCTCGGTGCTGGGACGGCCCGAGGGACCCTACCGAGCGGTGAGCGCCACCAAGAGGTTGGTGACTTCGCTGCACCCAGGAGTGGACACCCTGGATAAGATGTTCGAGTACGCAGCCACAAAGTTCCCACACAGAGACTGTCTAGGGACGAGGGAGGTGATCAGTGAGGAGGACGAGCGTCAGAGCAATGGAAAAGTGTTCAAGAAGGTAAAGAGTGATGCAGAAAGTGTGGTAACAGAAGCAGCAGTATAGTAACATCAAATAGCAAGGGACAAAATACAAACCCCTAAAAAAGGGACATTAAACGCACTTTAAAGCAAGGGCGAATCTAGAGGGGTGGTATGAGCACCTAAAAAATGCCTGGCCACCCCAGCTGTCACCCAGTTAAAAAAACTTTAAACCATTTAATGATCTCCTAAAGGCTTAAGGTCAATGAAAAAAAATAAAACAGTTGATTCTAATACCACCTTCAGATCAGTGCTTTACTAATGTGCCACAAAATTGTAATATTTTGGAGTAAAATATCTTTATTTGGGAGCTTTTCCAAGCAAATATTCACATATGTGATTGTTTGCAATTAAATGAGCAGATATTTCTGCCACCCCTTAAAGTCTCCATGCCACACTCTTGCCCCCCCATGAATATTCCTCTAGATCTGCCCCTGCTTTAAAAGAATGGTTCAACATTTTGGGAAATACACTTATTAGAGAGTTAAATGAGTAATATAAACTAATACAGTGGAATACAACTCCGTAGATAAACAAACGTACATGGTATGATAACTGTTCATTTTCATACCACAGTATACTGTGCTAAAGGTATATCGCTGCAATCCTAATACCACATGGTCAGTGTAAAAACATGAATGAATGGATGAATAAAAGACTGCATAGCCATTTATTTGAAGAAGATTCACAAAGGTTAGAAAAAGGAAGAATGAATAGAAGCAATAGATTTGAATTTTTTGTTATTTCACTAGACGACCTAAATTCCATTGACCTTAGAAGTGTTAAGAAAGAGAAGAGAAGTGTATGGAATGAAAGAAGGAAACGGGATAAAGAGATTCGATTTGTTCAACAGTAAAAAGAATAGTGGGAGTATGAAAAAGAAGCAAAATCCTTCCTAACATGAAGGCTACTACCATGCTTTGCCACCATATCCTCTATATGCTTCTATAAAATGTACGTCTGTATACAAACACTTGCATTCACAGATTATCTCAGAAGTTGCAACAGCATTCAGTGTAAACTTTACCCAAGTACGCACAGTGCTGGCACAGTCAGGAGTTAGCAAACTTTGACGTGTATTTAAAGTTCCCCCCTAATCCCAGCAGCCTGATCCTTCTAATCCAGTTAAACCCCCAGTGTCGAAACACTTGTTGCTGCAAGAGAACATGTCTTAGCTGTTTATTGTTTCCAACAAGTGGATAACAGTACTGTATAGTCATGATTACTGTGTGCGTTTGTGTGCACTACCATTTATTAACCATAAGGAGCCAGTATAACCTCACTGATACAGGCAGGAAGCACGTGTGTCTGTGGCTTTCTGCTGTGTGTCATCAGAGTGTTGGAGAGTATATCCAGAAGCCCGTGTTTATCTTCTTCTCATGCGGATGATGACTGTGAAATGCTACAGTATGAGAATGACAGCAGAGGGGAGAAAGTAGTTTTGTTTGGCAGTGATGAACTGTTACTCCCTTTCCTGTGACTTTTTAAATATGAAACAGACCGAACATGTGACTGTGGGATATAACTCTCCGTACTGTGCTCCTGCAGTAAAATGCACCCACTGACACACAATAAAAGGAGGAATCAAATGTTCTTTGGCTAGAGTAATGGCTCAGTGCATCTACTGTACCTTTTTATCCCCTTCTTCATCACTAACAAATGTCACTGTACTTCTCTTCCACACCCCTCTTCCCCCCCTCCTGCAGGTGGTTCTGGGTGAGTACCGCTGGCTCTCCTACAAGGAGGTCCTCACAGCAGCGTCCCAACTGGGCAGTGGTCTGGCATCGCTGGGGCAGCGGCCCAAAAACAACATCGCCATGTTCTGTGAGACGCGAGCCGAGTGGATCATTGCTGCCCAGGCCTGCTTCATGTACAACTTCCGACGTAAGTCCAGCGTGTCTGTGAGTATGGACCATCAGCATATATGACAGCTCTCCAAAAGTGAAGCCCCCTGGCGGCTGACTGCAGTATAGGTCATAATGTCTGTTGCCTCCATGAAAGTAGTACACCTTAAATAAATTAGTGATTTGATGGTTTCTGGTATTTTAGGTAGTTCTCATTTAAATTTTCTTTCAATTTTAAGTTATTTGAAGCTATAAAAAGGGGGTTTTACATCATGAATGACAGCTGAGCCCTGCTCATGATTAAGTCGGCCGGGGCGTATGGGCCACCAACCAACCCCTGACATGATGTCAATCTTTTATATGTGGATGGTATGGACACACAGAAATACACAGAGGAGGGTGGACAAACAATATTAACACTTCATGAAAAGCAGTGCAGCAGCTTAACATTTTAAACAGTTTTAGACTAAAAAACACTGTATCATTGTAAGCTGCAGCCAGTCAGAAGCATCAGTCTCTTACATACAGTGTGTAATATTTAGGAGGA